AGTAATTGAACTGCAGTCAGAGAGAGACGTATTGCTGAAGTTAACGTTACGTTGTTAAAACGTTTGTAAAAGAGCGACTGTTGAAAATAAGTGTATCGTGAAGTTATATTCAGAAAGAATAAACCAGTTTTATTAAGTAAGGACTTGTGTCGTTAAGTTTCGTCGGAACGAAGTTACGGAAAGTTAATTAACAAACGGAGACGTAACAGTATCGTATTTTACTGTTTTGTTCCTCCTTGAAACAATGAATTCCATCATAAGTTGGTGAACGTTTAGGTTTAGCATTTACTTTTATAACTAATTAAAAACGTAAATGTAAAAAATAATACGATAAAACTCATCTTTAAAACATTATGTCAAATTTAGAAAAATAATAAATATATATTCGCTTACATCCGTAATATATTGCAACTGCTGCTCCTACCGTCACAAAAAGAAGGGCCAGAGACACACAGACACAAGTTGTTGCAGTACAACCCTCTTTTTTGGTAAATTTAATCTCGTGACTTTCGCCACTTTCACTAGGGGCGCTGATGTTGCTGCCATTAAATCCATCGTTGAAGGCTGTTGTGAGAGGATGATCATGATGAAAACTTTTTTTGGACTGAAATGCATAAAAAAATACAACGGAGTTAGTTTAATGCAAATTTTAGGTTTGCAACAAAAACCTAAATTAGAGTTTTAAAACTTTCTCAGTATTTTATAGTACTTCAAGCGTATCAAAATTATAAGTAATGTAATTAACTCACTGCAGAGGCGTCGCCAAATGCTTAAAAGATTTGGGGATCGGGACCATAGTCGCAGGAATTTTCGGTGTTTCGGTATGATATCAATCATTGTTTTCTATTCTGAGTTTTCAAGACACCAACTGAAGATTCGGGGCATTGTCAAATAGAATCGTGGCACAGGACTTGTGTGCCAGTGCCTAGCGACCCCTCTGAATCACTTTAAGATTATATATTCATACCGTAAAACACATATCTCAAGCTATCACGATATAAAGTCATCCAATACTCTTCACCTGCTGAGTTCAGATTTTTCGTTTTTGTTTCAATTAATCCAATCGTATTTTTAGTGAATAGAGCCTATGCGCTCAATCTTTTGAGCTCTGCAAATGGTGGAGTGCTGGACATGGCCTAGTGGTCAAGGTGTCGAACAATGGATCCGAGAGTCTATGATTCACGTCCGCACTTTTAGTGACGATCTAACCCCATTATTTTATTCGAGTAGCCCAAGAGTTAGCGGTGGGTAATGTTGGCAAGATATCTTCCTTGTAGTCTATCACTCTAAAAAAGAGATTACGGCTAGCACAGATAGCCCTTGTATAGCTAGTTTTAGTTCTCTTCTCAAACCCATCCCCAGCATTGATTTCACGCCTCGTAATCGATTCGTTTCTCATGATACCTCGCGTTACCCCATCTTAACCACGATCCAGTCGACATAATCAGAGATGGTGGTTTGTAAGTGTGGAAGGACTTATGCAATCAGTTATTCACATGGGTACCACCAGAAGGAGTTTAGTTTATAACGAAACCGGTAACTGCTTCTTGCCAACCTCTAAACTAATCAAAACGGTGAAACGGTACTTATTACGGTACTTATACACCTTCCCTGAACTCCATTTCTGTTGAGGAATTTTTCCCGCCCAAATTTCTTTTATATAGAGAATAAGTAGAATTCTATACATTTGCTTTACAAGTTAGACTTAAGAAAAATTATTCAAAAATGTAATTTAGAAAATGATGGTTTACTTTAATAATGTAAATCTGTAAACTACGGCTTAGAACTGTTTAGTGTAAATCTGTAAACTACGGCTTAGAACTGTTTAGTGTAAATCTGTAACCTACGGTTTAGAAATGTTTAGTGTAAATCTGTAAACTACGGCTTAGAACTGTTTAGTGTAAATCTATAAACTACGGCTTAGAACTGTTTAGTGTAAATCTGTAAACTACGGCTTAGAACTGTTTAGTGTAAATCTGTAAACTACAACTTAGAACTGTTTAGGAATTGGATACAGTTTTTTTAATTTTAATGATTTGTTAATGCTATCATCGTGTTTGCTTTAAAAAAATACGAAATTAAAAAAGCGGGATAAAATAGAAGACATCGTTTGGCATTACTTTTCTATGGTTCTGTGATCTTATTGTGCTCACTTGGCTTACATGGATGCGTTATAATTGTTGTATCAAAGACTTCACAAACATTGTTTTTGGTCAGCCAAGCTAATCACGGGTGTTCTCGGACAGTCAGTCCTAACTTTGTTAAAATGAAAGCATGTCCAAGAGAACAAGACTGTAGAGGTCAGTCACCATTCCTAGTCATGCCTTAATAAACCTATTCATTATTTACAACTCAGTGACAAAAGCGCTTTTGGGGTTGGAGGCTACTGGATCGTGACGTTTTGATTGAGTCAGTGTTTCGCGCATTCATTAAGATTTTGTGTTTGTGAACCAAATATTTATAACGTGGCTAGTTACGAAACTTGTTTGCCGGTTCTAGTTAGGAAGTCTTTATTGTCGTCATACAACACTTTGTATGAACAATGAACGACATGTGGCAGTTTTAATTTCTTTTATATGCAACTTAGTCTACACACCAAGACTTTCTGTGCTATTTTTCTATCATATCCTACAGAGTAGACTAACGATATAACCGGATGTGAAGCCATTTGAGTTACTGCTAAATTACTTTAAAAAAATGGAAATATGAATGCTTTAGATTACAAAAACATACTTTACCCGTAGATCTATATGTCAAAATAAGAACTATATGCCCCCAGTGGCACAGCGATATGTCTGCGGATTTACAAAGCTAGAAACCGGGTTTCGATACCCATGGTGGGCAGAGCACAGATAGCCCATTGTGTAGCTTTGTGCTTAACTACAAACCAACAAACAAGAATTATATAGAAAACAACTAGAAGTAGACTACTGCTGGCCGATGTTGTTTTATACTTTACGGTCAGTTCTATAGTTTATATCAAGATATTAATTTCACTTCCTAGTATTTGGATTACCAGTACTAATGATATCAGAAATTGGGCAGAAATCACAGTTCTTAGCTCAGTGGCCTGAATCTGGGTTCTGATACTTAATAAAAGTTTCCGTATATTTTCAAGTGATGATCACAATGGTTATTTTATAACCACAGTATCTAAGGCATTAGATTTTTGTTTGTTTTAGAACAAAGCCATATTGGGCTATCTGCAGGAATTGAATCCTGGATATCAGTGTTGTAAGTCCGTAAACTTACCGCTGTCCCACCGGGGTCAAAGGTATTGGAATCCATAAACATAAATCAATACTTATATCTAACTTCGGTCTGAGTATGGCTCAATGGTTAGCGTACAGTACTGGGGTTCGCAAATGATGCTTTGGGTGTGTTATAAGAGTGATGGTCAAATCCCACTATTCGATTGAAGTAGCCCATGAGTTGGCTATAGGTGGTGTTGACGAGCTACTTACCCTATAGTCTATCACCTCAACGTTCTAGACGGTTAGCGCAGATATCCCTCGAGTAACTTTACGTAAAATTCAATAAAATAAAACACTTACTTAAAATTGGTGTAAAAAACATGTTCAAGAGTAACGCTTTCGAAACAATGCATTGTTGAACAACACTGAAAAAGTGACGAATAATTCTCAGAGATTCTTAGCGAGCTTTAAAAATAGACTCTGAAAAAAAATCTTTCTGCATAAGTACTTAACTCGTGTTTCTGAAAAGTGAAGTTTTATTCATTTTCGCGCAAAACTAGCTACATAAGGGATATCTGCATAATAGTCCCTAGTTTTGTATTGATAGACAAGGGGCGAAACATCTAACCAATGGTAACCAGCGCCAACTTTTGGACTACTATGGTCTGACCGAATAATTGGATTATACTGTCCCTCTTATAGCACACCCAGGGTCTTGAATTGCGAAGCTCGTTTTTGTGGCAACGAGGTGGGAACTATGAACTCACTGATTCAAAGTCTGGGCATGTTAACCACTAGGCCACGCACGTTCCAAATGGTGTGAGAATCATGTACTTTGAGGATCTTTCGACACCATGAAAATGATGCACTACAACCACAGCATCATTGACAAAGGAGTTCGGAGAAACTGGATTTCATCTGACATAGTGATTTCGTACCTACTTTTGGGTTTCCTTTTTCTAGTGGTCAGCCTGCAGGTTTAAGGTTCGAGCCTGTGTCATGCCACTGAACACGCTCCGTACTTTCAGCCTATAAGCGCATTATAAAATTTATAGTCAATACATTTATTCGATTTGCCATGTAGGCGGTGGTTGTTACTAACTGGTTATCCTCCACCTGATTAAGAATTGAAAATTCGAGATGGCTATGTCTGAACTTTGAGAATTGTGATCTAGTTGTTTAGCTCATATGTTCCATAAAGTACTATTCAGATAGAAAATACCATAATGTGTAATACTTTAATAGAAGAGGTGAACATATTCTTATGAGAACATGGAAATTTCTCCCAAGATGGTGCACAAAGCGCTCGAGTTTTGACTCATTTCACGCTCAAGACATGTTATCTGAACCACATCTTCATCAGAACAATATTTTTCTTTTTTTTACAACTTTCTTAACATTGAGCTCTTCGATTGTCATACTTCATGAAGTACAAGGAGTCAGTTACCTCTAGAATCGCAGTTGCTCTTTCATTATTCTTGTCTGTTGTTGTTGTTTTTATGTTGTCTGATACGTTTTGAACTGGGTCTTATTTGTTTCTACGGTGAGTATATGCAAACAAGAGATGAATGAATATTAACGGTATAAATAATAAAGAACTGTGCGATATGGCTGCTTAAAATTATTCAAAGGATGGGGGAGGATGAGAATGGATTAAACAGACACACATATTCAATGGCTGTTTGTAAGTGGAGGGAGGAGAAGAATGGATTAAACAGACATACATATTCAATGGCTGTTTGTAAGTGGAGAAAAGAGGAGAATGGATTAAACAGACATACATATTCAATGGCTGTTTGTAAGTGGAGGGAGGAGGAGAATGGATTAAACAGACATACATATTCAATGGCTGTTTGTAAGAGGAGGAAGGAGGAGAATGGATTAAATAGACATACACATTCAATGGCTGTTTGTAAGTGGAGAAAAGAGGGGAATGGATTAAACAGACATACATATTCAATGGTTGTTTGTAAGTGGAGGGAGGAGGATAATGGATTAAAAAGACATACATATTCAATGGCTGTTTGTAAGAGGAGGGAGAAGGAGAATGGATTAAATAGACATACATATTAAATGACTGTTTGTAAAAAGAGGGAGGAGAAGAATGGATTAAACAGGCATACATAATCAATGGCTGTTTGTAAGTGGAGGGAGGTGGAAAATAGATTAAACAGACACACGTATTCAATGGTTGTTTGTCCTCATAAAACAACAAAAGAGAATTAAAAGTTAGAAATAATTTTGCAAAGCCTATTTCTGCCTAAATACATAAGGATGTTCAGTCCCAATAGCTCCTACTGGTCAAATGTTATTTACGATATCAGTTGAACTTAATATTGTCGTATAAGACACATTCTTCATATTAAAGACCTACAACACATTAGTATATGTTCATCACACAATATATTGT